TTTGGATTGGAGTAAAGGGCCAAAATTTAAGGGATTTTTGTTTCCAAGCTCCGATTGTCACATTTTTTACAAAGTATCTTTATTTGACATAACCATGAACATAAAATGTTTGGAGTTTGCTTTATGTCTGGAAGTTATTAATTTCTAACACAAAAAAAATATCTTCGCTACCTCTGATTACACACAAGGTCACGAATTTTGTTGACTAAAACTAATTTGGCAAAGTAACTTGATTCTGAACATAATAAACACGTTAAAAGTTAGACTTTATCGATTCGCTTAGATTTTGGATTTTTTAAATCTTAACTCTCTAAGTCTACTTCATAATGGATTCTCATATTCTAACTATGCTTCGAAATCGATACTTATATTCTAATTATATTTCGATATCGATACTCATATTCTAATTTTAGTTCTATATTGGTATTTATATTCTAATTATAAAATATTACTGCGTGTTCTGGATAAATCTGCTTTACTATTATATATATATATATATATATAATATATATATATATATATATATATATATATATATATATATACATACATACATACATATGTATATATATATATATATATATATATATATATATATATATATATATATATATATATATATATATATATATATATATATATATATATATATATATATATATATATTTAAAAAAGAAGGTGAAATTTTAATATTGTTATTATTTTACATTCCAAAAATAGTTTGTAATATAATATTTGTTGAAAAGTAAGTGGTTTTCATACTAGAAAAATACACAGTTGTTCTATTTTACACTTCAGTGGCGTTATGATATCATTAGTATTTACTCTATTAAACAATTTTCTATAATTTTCTATTTTTCTTGGAAGTGAAGTTTATTTTTAGTAAAAAAAAAATCTTGAAGAAGAATGTTTACAATAATTAAAAAGTGCTCATTTTAAAAGGATTTCATAAAATTTAGCAGTATAATAGTAGAGAGAAAAAATGCTACGTTTCAATAAACTTTATTTATTCAAAAATGCAGTTAAGTCTTTCAGTAATAAATCAAATTTATATAAAGATTCAGAATATATTGAAAAATGTTCAAACACTACAAAAAAATATTTAAATATTACATAAATAAAAGAAGAAACGGCAAGTTTTGTCAGACGACACATTGGACAAAAAACAACTTTTTTATAGAGGAAAAAAGAAAAGAAAACATTTATAAATTAAGCCAATAATAAAATCAACTAAAAATAAATATTTTAAAACAAGAAAAGAAAAAGAAACATGAAAAAAACTGAAAGAAAATAAATAAGGAAGTATAGAAAATAGAAGTCAAGAGAAAAAGTTAATGAATAAATCGGAAAATGAAAATTTTATTATTTACAATTTCATTTTATATTTAAGCGGTCTTGTAGTAATGATTTTTCTTTAGTTTTTTAGCGTATAAAAATTTACTTATTATTTTTTGTTAGTTATTTATTGTTTTACTTTTTAGTTATTTAATTATTTTTAAATAGTGACATCTAATTTTTTATAGTTTTATAATATTTGTTTTTATTTTCGTTTTAAGCATTTATTATAAATGTTTTATTCTACCGTGTATTATTATTACTTTTTTTTTTCTTTATTTATTATTTTTAATTTAAGTTGTTTTTTTCTTGTAGTTGTTGATGTTGTTTTTTGTTTTTATTGCCAAATGAACTTAACGTAAATTTTTGTTTTGCTTGTAATGTTTGTTGTAACTTTTGTTTAGGTTTTGATTTTCTCAGTGTTTTTCTGCTTATACTTTATTTACTTTGTCATATTATTTGCAATATATTTCGGTTATTATATTATAAGAAAAATATATTTAATAAATCTTTATAATTTTTTTTAGCAGTGGTTGTTTTTATTTCATCGTTAGTTGTTACGTTTTTTCAGTTTATTTCTGTTTGTAACTGTAACTTTGTATGTAAAAACGATTGTTGTGGGGAAAGTTTTACTGATTTATTTAAATTATTTTAATTACTATATTATTATTATTATTGTTAAAATAAAATGTTATTATTATTATTATTTATTATTATTATTATTATTATAAATATTATCTTTACTATTATTACTATTTTAATCGTTATCATTAGGTGTTTATGTGATATTAGTAGTTTATACTATTAGTAAACAACCTTGAAATGTAAGACCAAATATTTCAGAAATATATATTGATTGATTGATTGATTGATTGATTGATCAAGTGACTTAGACGTTTCTTTAATTTTAAAAGGTTTAAACTACCAGGTACGGCTTTTTTTGATAAAAAAAAGTTTTATAAAAGACTTCTATGTTTGGTAAGTATTTTGAATAAAGATGTTTTCATATTTCGAAACCTTTTTAATTTTTTTATTTTTTATATGCAACAATGTATATTTTTAAAAACTCACAAACGTCTATTAAACGCTTCGACAAAACATTTAAATTTGTTCGATTATCTGTTTAGAACAAAACCCAGATTGACGTTTAAAACAAACGTCCACAAAACGTCGATATGCAAACGTATTTTAGACCTCTATTTTAGGGTCGCTATAAGTATTTAAAGCGTTAAGATTTAGTCTAATTTACGTTTAGACTTATTCTAATAAACGTTTATCAAGCGTTTAGATTTAATCTAATTCAACGTATATTAAACGTTTAGATCGTGTTTAATAGTTTCTTTGATTTAGTCAACGTACTTTTAACGTTATAACTTTTTACCTTTTTTTTTAAGTAATTTTATAAAGAATTTATAAATAAAATAATTTAATTAGAATAAATTAAATATGAAATAATTAAATTTTATTAGTAATCAAAAGATGTCTATAGAAATTTATAAAAAAAGTTTAGTTATAAAAGTATATAAGGCCTGTATAACAGGCCTTATTTTTTATGACTTTTATTACATATGTTGTTTATAAATTTTATACGATACTTAAATATTTTTTTACTAAACAATTTATAACTATATATACAATTATAAACTTATATAAAACGTTTTCGTTTTAGTGGTGATTTATGGACGACATAATATATTTATTGATTGTCCCATAAATAGGAGGGCAAAAAATGTTTTTGCACTATACTTGTTTATGCTTCGGTAATTTAAAAAATGTAATCGCAGTAAAAATTTTGTATTAACAATTTGCCTTCGCATATAACAAACTGCCTTCGCAGTAAAAACTTTGTATCAACAATTTCTAACGTCATTATCCGAGCAAAAAAAGTAGAATAATAACCCAAATAAACATTTTTTAAATTTATTTACATTTAGCATAAAATAAAAGTTTACATTAAGGTTAAGTTAAAGACTATTAATAACATTAATTCAAATCGGCGCATGTTGAATTCACGCATTCAACATGCGCCGATTTTAGTGTAACGTCATCATCTACATTTGTCTCCTGATTGTATTGTTTAGATTCAACCTTCATTGATCCCACTACTTTCTTCGTTCTTGAAGATGTCTTTTTTTGTCCCTCCTATTTGCAAAAAGGCTTGTTTTAAATATGAGGCAATAGCACTTTATGCTTGGGCTAATGACGCGTTTGAAAAGTTGTACACTCTAAAAAAGATATTAAAAAAAAATAATTGATGAAGTTAATAATAAATCGACATGATTCATTTATTTTGTACTCTGTCTATTTATATAACTGCAAAAACTAGGGTAAAATAATTAGCATCTAAATAAAATATTCAAAAATTAAAACTATTAACAGCAACTTTACGTTTAGATGATTTTCTGAATGAAAGTTTTCCGAATTTTCCTCTAACATTTATGTTCATTTTTGACATTAAAAAGTAAAAATTCGCAACATAATAAACTGTTCAGTTTTTTAAAAAACTTAACAAAAACGTTCTTGCAGCAGGACTTTCACAACGAGAAACTAGCAGTTCATATTTTTCAACAGTGTCAACGGGGCTTTCAATAATTACTTATATAAATTAGAGTTTTCCTCCATTTTTATTATTCGTCCAATAAAAAAAAACTTTTTATTTTGGTTATTTTTGTCATTGATTATAATGATGATAATCATATTCTAATTATATTTTGATATCGTTTCTCGTATGTTAATTATACCTCGATTCTTGTATTTTAATTATACGAGTAGGGGTCACGTGGGGGGTAGGGTGCCATTACAACTTTTTTTGTCTGAAAAAAAAAAAAGGTCCTCGTTTTTTAAAATTTACCGACTGCCATACACCCCCCACACACCCTATCGCGACGGCTTTGATTATATTTATTTTCTTAAAAAAAAAAGGAATTTTTTTTTTATAATTCAAATACCAAAAATAGTTTGTAATATTATATTTGTTGAAAATCACAATAAGTGGTTTTCTTACTAGAAAAATACACAGTTGTTCTTTTTTGCACTTCAGTTGCGTTATCATTAGTATTTACTCTATTAAACAATTTCCTATGATTTTCTATTTTTCTTGGAAAGTGGAGTTTATTTTAAGTAAAAAAACTTTTAAAAAAGAATGTCTACAATAATCAAAAAATGCTTATTTCAAAAACAAAACATATGAAATTATAAATAAAAAATACAAACTAAGTGATAGCAAGACAAATTAAGTGATAACATGAAATAAGCCTAGTCATTGAAAAAAAGTTTTTTGACTAATGCCCAAAACTAAATTTATTTCTCACGCCTTATATTAAACATTTAAAAGCATTCTTTATTTTAGGGGTTTCTTTATAATGCTTCCTCTTAAATTGTTCTCTCATCAGCAATTAGAGTCTCGCACTTAAACACGTAGTAAAAAAAATCTTAAAAGGAATGGAGAACAAAACTTTATCAAATCAAGTGTTATTAATTACATTTCCTAAAACAATATATATACTCAAAGTTGTCTAAGTTTAGTAGGAAAATATTTATGCAAGTATCAAATTAATAATTATTTGTAGTTTATGAGTCATAAATAATATATCACCATGGAAATGATGATTTGGCGAATCGAAAATTACGAAACTTAAAACTTTGATGTCACAAATTCTTATTCCGATTAAAGCGATTTTGGAAGTAAATAAACCCAACTTCGCTAACAAGGTGTTACTTGTTTCACGTGCTACTTTATGTAAATTTTGCTAAACAATGTCTACAAGAAATTTAATTACTCAAATTAAACCAAAAAGTTTTTTAAACTACAATGTTTTGAGTCGTCCTACAAGAAAAGTATTACTATGTCGTAGTGATTTGAATCAAAGTTTAAGATGCACGTCCAATGTAAAGTTTTTATCAGATTTCAGTATAAAGAACATCCTTCCTCCTCAGGATGCATTTGCAGAACGTCATTTGGGACCAAGAAAAGAGGAAACAGTTGATATGATTAAAACTTTAAATCTAGAGGTTGGTATTACAAGCTCGTTGTACTAGATATTCGATAACTAGATTTAGTTATCAATCAAAACTTGATGTCTGCCAGATCAGGGAAATTAGGGAAAACAGGGAAAAGTCAGGAGTTGAGATATCTGCACAGAAAAAAAATTAGGGAATAATTAGGGAAAATGGGTGAAATTTTAGAAAAATTACGAAGAAATCAGAGAAAATGGCTCTTCATTAAACTTACGTAACTTAAGTGAGTTATATATTGTACACATAATGTAAAATTTAATTTGGCATTTATGTTTCTACAATTAAAGAGCATTTATCCAAAAGAATCTAAATCTAAAGTTGTGTTTAGGTAAATTTAGATTAAATTCAGGAAAGCAGGTATTGGATCAGAGAAAAAACTCAGAAATCCACTTAAAATTACTGGCAGACACCTTGCATAACTTATTATCTAATATATAATGAAATTTGTTGCAAAGGTGCATTTGCATATTTTAACACACTTGCAATCCTTTTTTGTTTTTGCTTTGAGTTTTAACTTACATTAATTCAAGTATAAATCACATTAAATATCGAAAAACAAATTGTTTACTGCTACATGTTTTTAATATATATTGACAAGTATCATAATTTGTGTTTTAACCTGTACTTTAAATTATAATATTATTTAAAGTGTAAATTTAAAAATAGGTTATTAAAAGCAAAATGCAGGACCACCAGAAAACAACACTTAAACAATCTTTTAATACAATCTATAAAAGGAGACTTTTACTTAAATATCTGACTGACAAAATATTTATCCATGACATTGTAGTTGCATTAATTTACCAATGCACAGTTGGTAGTTATTATTTTAAAACAGATGTTGTGTAAACTTGCAGTTTGTTGCATTTTTTCAGTTATCAACTGTTTTTAATATGAAATGTTTAGGTGCAAATTTAATTTTACAGGGTGTATGGTATAGCTGATGATAACAATGTTTTCAACTTTACTATCTCAAACTAAATTTAAATCTATTAACAGATTTTAAATTTTGTAGAAAAATATTGTAAATTACAAAAGTTATGACCATGCAAAATTTAACCCCCCCCCCCCTCCCTCATTTTTAAGGGGGTTGGAAAATTTGCATGGTCATAACAGGGGTCATAACAGGGGAGAATAATTTCCCTTATTTAAAATCAAATCTAAATTTAAAAACAGCTTTTAACATTTAAACATTAATAGGTAATATTAAAATTATTCACACATTTTATAGCAGTTAGATGATTCAAGATAATAGCACAAATAAATTCAGTTTAATAAATAAATAGTTGTATAAATAAAGTAGTGTTCTCGTATAAAAAATCTTTTCTTTTTTTTTTAGAGTATCTCTGAGTTGATTGACAGAACAATACCAAAAAATATTAGATTTAATGGTGAACTCAGTTTGGAAACTCCTAAAAGTATGAACTAAGTTTATATTTTAAATTATTTATTTTGTGCAATAAATATACAATTATAACTGTAATTTTATAATTATTAACAATTCAGATAAAAAAATAATTGCATAAATAGTTAAAGTTTGACAACATTAATAGTACTCACATGACTATATAGTAAAATGAAGTTATTTAATTTTTTAGTTTTGTAATTTACTGTGACAGTATGGTTAAATGGTAGCCAAATGGTCATTATTGGGCTGGTGTGCACATTTTTATTTAAAGAATGGTTTTATAGTTTCTCAACTGTCACAATATTGTTGACATTCCTATACTAATGAATAGCAACCCTCTTACTGAGTTCTTTACTTTGATTCTTCTTGGATTGTTATTCAGTACTGATCTCTCATGGAAATCTTACATGCAATCCATTGTAAAGTTATCATATTCTAAGGTTGCATAAGGTTGTTAGCATATGCTAAGGTTGCATAAGATTGGTAGCATATGCTTTTTTTTTTTTTTTTTTTTTTTTATATATATACTTGTATTTGCCATTTTCTTACTCTTAACTTTACTACCTCTTTACTACCTCTATAAATATCTTATTTGTCCCTGTATGGAATAGTGTTATATTTGGGCCAGTTCTTCTAATGATGCTTTTTATCTTCTAGATAAGGTCTTAAAGTGTGTTATTATGAACTAATTGGTCCTGGTCTAGCTGCCCAGCTTGAGCCACATCCATAAGGTTGCATCTATTTTTTTTTTTTACAAACAATATCACGGTTGCTACTTAAACAAGCTATAATTACTAGTTTCATCAATTAAAAGTCTTTCTCTTAACTTGTCATTCAGCAAATTTGCCTCTTTTTACTGTATCTGTCTCATGCTCTAAATATTTTTGTCAAGTTGTTTTTTTCCTTGTACTTCAATGCTTTTCAATTTTTTCCGGTTTTCCCCTTTATTCCTTATTCATGTTTTCATGAAAGAAATTTTTTTACAGTCTTTCGTAAATTATGTCTCTAAACATTTGTGCCAAATTTCAGAAAATTTATTGATGTAGGGTGCAGATTTATGTTTTTTTTTTGTGTTTTTTGAGAAATTTTTACCCCAATATTAATTTAGGAGTTATTAGAAATTTGTTTGATTTTGATTAAAAAATGAGAGGAAAAAATGCCAAAAATGTTTCAGTTTATTATTACCTTTATATGGTGCTTTTAGAAACTTAGTACCAAAAGAGCTTAAAAGTCGGAAAACTTTAGTTTTGTATCTCTCAAAGCAAAGCATTGTAGTTTATTCTAGGATTCATAGAATGTACCTAATAACAACAATAAAAAAGGGCATTGACAATTATAGCCAGGAATACAGAGTCGTTGTCCATGGAGTCCCTATTTTACCCCGTAGTCTCGAGAGTCCATAAAAATTTTACAACTCCAGGACTCTTTTTTTTTTATTTATAGTTATTAATATGTTAAAGAAATACCTGATAGTCTTGTAACAAAAACTGTAAAAGAGTATTTGACCGGAAAGCTCATCTCCTTCCTTACCAATTTGAACCAATACTCAGATTGAGTATCAGTTCGAATTGCCTTGTCAAGAGGCGTTGCCAAGCTTGCATTTTATGTTAGAAAAGGCCATATGCCCACGCGTTCAGCAGTTTAATGTTAGGAGAAAACTTTTATCTTTTAGAATATTTAAATTATATTTTGATATCATTTATGTGACGTTTATTCAGAAAATACAATGTTGTAAGTAAAAACATATAACCGCAATTGTGATCTAATAGATTTTTTTTTAAAGAAACAGTTTGTTTAATAATTTTTTTTTTTGTTAAAATTAGTTAAAGAAAATAAAGTGTCATATTTAATGAATGAATAAACATATTTAATGAATGAATAAACATAAATCATATTTAATGTTAAATTTTATATTTCTTAAGTTTATAAACTTTTATTTGCAAATTATGTTCATTTTATATGTAGCAATTTTTGTTTACTTATTTATAGTTTTAAAACAATTAATTTTTTTGTTTCATTAAGAAAACCCATTAAGTACTTATGATTAACTGTTTATTAATGTATTTCCTCATCATCATATTTCGATCAGGCAATTTCACGGGTTGTATGAGAAGGGGGTTGTTGCCCCCTACCCTAAAAAGCGAAGAAGTTAACATTCCACTTACACTTAGATATTTTTAATAAGTCATTCACTTTGGAAGGATTCATCCTCCTCATATTATTCATAAAATCGCTACTGGCTAGACCTGCAGATAACGATATGTTTGAGAATTTAGTTGTTTAATTTGTTTTAAATATTTACCAAATTTAGAAATAAATGATATTTTAGTGTAAAAGTTGCTTTTATGCAAGTTTTTTCGTTATCTTTAATTTTTTAGATTGATCATAGAAAAAAAGTCTATTAGAAATGATTAACTAGGTTATAAGCAGTAGACGAATATTTTACCAAAGTCAAGTTCTTAAAAAAAAATTGTCTATATATTTTTTGCTTTGTCTAAGCACTGTTTAAAACTGTAAACTATAGTAGGAAACTATACTTATAAATAAATGAAATTTGTATATACTATTAGAAAAATGATCTTTTTATTTCTTTTAACCTCAACCCAAAATGGCGTGAGATATTATAATTATGTACATTGGGTTTCAGTCTAATCCAGGCTTTCACAGGAAGACGTGCGATTTCATGTCTTTATATGACCACGCAAATTACATTTTGCTATGACGGTTTGACCGCGGCTAATTCATAAAACGTTTTAAAAATGCACTAAATGAAAAATATTCTAAAAAAGTGAAATGAATTACATCAAAGTTTCTACACAAATGTTTTTATATACTAGCGAAACGATTTTAAATGAAGTAACAATTTACTGAAAATGTTTTTTTTTAAATATAATTGTCAGTTGTATATATATTTTTAATTTATAACATATAAATTGTTTAAGTGTTCATTTTTAAAATAAACGTTATTAAAAAATAAAAAATTGTTTTGTTTTTATAAACGATGACATTCTACGATTGCTAACAAATTTAAGTTTAAGAATAATTAAAGTGAATGCATTTCAAAAGTCTTTAACAAATTTAAGTTCAAGAATAATTAAAGTGAATGCATTTCAAAAGATAAACAAAATTTTGTTAAAAAAAAAAGTTTTAAAAAGCCATTACAAGTTTAATCTTAAATGCTTTTATAGTATCGAAACACTTTTTAATGAAGTAAAAAAACACTTCTAATTAATTTAAAAAAAAAAAAGTATTAATAAAATGTTTTTTTTTTTAATATATATAATTATGTATTATTTTTTTATGAAAAATGTTTAACTTTTGAAACATTAAATAAATAAAAAATATATACAAATGTTGAAAACAAAGATTGAAATGGTTTTTTAATCCGTAAATTAAATAGACTAAGCATTTTAGTTTGATGAGTTTTGTTTTAGTTGCATTATTTATATATTTATTTTTTTGTGCTTTTGCTTTAACTAAGTATTTTTTTTATTTTCTTTTTCGTTAAGATTTCTTTTCTTTTTACAATTTCTTTTTTAGATAAGTTTATGTAAGTTTTTGAAGCACATTTTTAAATTTTGAAAATATGTTAAAAGCCGTGGTCAAATCGTTAAAGCATTATTTTTTGCGTGGTCATATAAAGACGTGAAATCGCACGCCTTCCTGTGAAAGCCTGCTACTCTGCTAAGAAAATCAAAATTTTTATTTTAATAATGTCTAATGAAAAATTGCAATGAAAGCAATATGGTTAAGATACGAAAAGCTATCAAATTTCACTAACAAATTAATTATATGCAATAAAAAATCAAATTTGTCTGTGAGTTTGCGCTATAAAATCAAGCTAACGATCTAGACAATCGGCAAAAACCATACCATCTAGGTCAGAAAGAAGCCAAAAAAAGGCTTGTTAAAATACCTCAACAAATAGATAAAAATTATTTTGCGCAGCAATTCCTTTTATGGAAAAACTACTAACATCATTGATTCATAACTAGTCATTGTAACAGCTTTCCTAACTATGTTTTCGTGGGTTGTTTTACAAAAAATTAATTTTGCAAAGCATATATAACATAAAGAAAATACTTTACATGTTCACAATAATTTGCAATAACAACATTCTTTTTTATAATAATATTTGCTATTAACTCGCGTGTAACAATCTTGATCAGTAATGGCCACTAACTATGCATCAGATATGATCTACAGACATTTTCATTATACAAATAAAGTTTTGAATGGATGAAAAGTAGTAAGCTTCAAATGTCTTGTACTCGAAAAAAGTAAAAGTAACTAGCTACGCAGTAAAGAAATTACATGTGCCGCAAAAGCTCGCATTAGCAACCTTATACGACACTTATCTAGAAATAAGAACCTTATACGATGCTTATCATTATGAAAAAAATAGAAGAAATAAGAATAAGAAGCAAAAATATAGAGCCATCAAAGGCAGCACTTCACAGCAATCCATATTAAAGTGTTTTGTATCACATCAAGTTAATTTGCATATAGGAAAAGATGAGTTTTTAGAAGCCTTAAACCAGCCTTTTTTTTCGTTAGTAATTATTTTTTATTTAAAAAAAAAAAATCTAAACAGTTATATGTTTTTTTGGCATTTTTAAATAAACATTTATCATTCTAAAAACAATATATATAGGTGTTTGATAGGGAACCTTTTTAAAAGCTTTGAGGAAAAGTTTCATCTCATTTTGGATTTAAAATGAATAGAGATAATATAAAAATTCAAATTATTGATCTTGCCAAAAAGCATTGCGAACAAATCAAAAACAAATTATTGAAAATGCTAGTTTATTTAAAAGTCAATTCTACATCAAGGCATATGCCTCACTACCTCGGAAAAAATGCCCAATACTCGAACAATGATAAAATTGCTGTGATTAATCTTTATTACACAATTGATACAAACAATTGATACAAAGGGAAAACAAACTGGAAGAATACACAAAAAATTATTTAGAAGTGTTTAGATAAGTTTGGAATCAATAAAACTAATATTTAAATTAAATATTAAATATTTATTTTAAATATTAGTAAAAAGATACAGTAAAAAGAGGCAAAAATTTAAGCTCATCTTTTTCTTCTAGATTAATGTCTTCAATGACTCCTATCCACCACTTTTGCTCATAGGAAACACAGGCATAATCACCTGGTACTATATTTACAGTTGTTACATGGATGTTTCCAAAGTCACGAATGAATGTAAAATCTTTATAAACACTGCATAGTTTTGTGCCTATATAAAATAGCAACATGCATTTGTTCCATTTTACTTATCCAAAATAAATCAAAAATATTTTTGACGATGATTCCACACAAATAAAAAATCTATTCGAGTTTATCAATAAAATTTATGCATGTTTTTTAAAGATAATAAAAGGTATGTTAAATATATATTATTTTTACCTTTTGATGGCCAAGTGGTACAAACTGGTGATAACTACGTGTTCCAGGTATGGTATTTGCAGTATCCAATCCTTCCTTAAGAGTGTTTCTTACTAAAGTTAAACCTTCTGATGATATATAAATGAAAAGTACATCTTCAATGTTTTCATTGCAATATTTGAACACTGCTTGTGTAGATAAAACATGATTACCCATATCTCTTTGCAATCTTGCTAGTGTTGCTAAACGTTTGACTGTACCACCTATCCCATCACAAGGTACCGTGACTAGTTGCAAAAAAGTTCCATTTAGCAGAAAGACTAAAATCTTCAAGATGGAAACAAAGATTTAAAATATTTTGCAATTCCTATATTGACTTGCACACCTATCTCAAAAGTATTCAATATTTTTTATTTGAGGTAGATTTTTTTAATATCATTGCTGACAACATCAATAATTTTATTCACCTTGTTTACATCATGCATCATATCATCTGAAACAATACAATAAAATTTGTCCTTGAGAAAACCTTCTTTTTTGAAATAATTAATCACAGGATGAAGTGTACATTGTAAATTTGTCCAATGAAAGCTTTTTACTTAATCCTGAGCTACAAATTTATAGTTACCAGAAAAATCACCCAGAAATAATGCTGTTAATTCATTCATATCTTTCCTTTTTGATCTCAGGTATGATGACTAAATATGAGTGTGGTGCATGTTTTGTCGGTTTTTTACATACTAGTTCAATGTATTTAGATGCTGGCTCTTTATTATGTGTTAAATTGGACCTATCTGTTGTTTTCCACTGATCAAATTCTACTTCATCATCATCTTCAAACTCTCCAATTGAATTATAAAGTTTTTCAACCAATGCATTCATATTTGCTGGTCATCTTTTCGCATTTCCGCATCAGTCTTTATTAGTCATGTACAATATAAGGTAATAGTTCTTTATATTTCACACCAAGAAGATGTAAAAACAGTTTTAAATTCTGATGAATAGCACAAACACATACTGAATGTGTTACTTAAGCACCAGCAGTAACACCATTTTGGTCGCAATGTGCAAAACTTTGTAAACTCTATTTTTATTTCTGGGTTCATGATTTTAAAGACAATTAACGATTCCTTTAAATTACATAAGAGCAAACGTTTTTGCATGTGAACATTTTTCTTTATGCTTCATTTTTTTTTTTTACCAGGCATTATATGGCTATATTCATCACCTTCATAAAAAGACTTGACCAGTTAAACTGTTACATCAGGAAGAACTTTCCCTAATTAAGGATGACTAAAATACCTTTTTCTAATGCTAATTTACGTGCAGTTTGAGCTACATAGTTTGTTACACATGTTTCAGAAACTTTTTCTATTGACCAGTCAGTTGCTTTTTTCCAGGTATAAGATTTAACTCCACGAATTCTGCTTCCAATACAGTATGCATTGTAATCACACATAGAGATTCTGAAAAGATGTAACTATATTGCTCAAATTCTATAACATTAATTATACCATTATTATAAAACAATAAACAAATCCAATTACAAAAAATTTATAAACAGCTTATTAAGAATGGTATTACCCATTAAAATGTAAACATTTTAATGGGTAAAAAAATTTTACCCATTAAATTTTATTAAATTAAATTTGGAAATGAGTTTTAAATTAAAAATGGGTTTTATTCATATATTTCTAGTATTTGCTTTTTTTTTTCTATATATTTATAATATGCTAAGTTGTAGTTATCTTAGCAATTTTTATTATAAGTAACATGTTAGCATCAATTCCTATTGTGTACTTAAGTAGAATAATGCAAAAAATTTTAACATTTTAGTTAGCTTTAATTCAAATAATAATTTATTATAGATTTTTGCCTACTTTGTCTTTTAATTTAATTCAATAATTTTATCAATTAGATCAAAATATCAAGTTTTTGATTTGAAAATTTTGTTTTTTAATTTTTAGCTGAGGCTGAATGTCTTGCTCATTTGCGTCAATATGGTCGTCAAAACATGGTATGGCGTTCCTATATTGGTATGGGATACTACAACACAAATGTCCCTACAACAATACTCAGAAATATTCTAGAAAACCCTGGATGGTATATAGCTTTTAATAATTAGTTTTTATTTCTAATTTATAAATATAAGAATAATTAAGGTTTTCATGAAAATATTTTTTAAATTTTAAAATGGTTGTCCCTCTTAAATTTTTGTTTATAACACATCTTGTTTTATATTGTTTTTAAAAGTTCTGACTTTTAATCAATAAAAAGTTAATTTTAATCTTTATCTTTTAGTAGTTTTGATTTTCTTTTAGTAGTTTTGAAGTACTGGTGTAGTAGGAGTCTTAAAGTTTGACTTGTTACTAATAATAATTTGTTTTGAAAAGTTATTTAGTAAACTACTGTTTAACTTAAATGAATAATTAACCTTATTCAAAATCAAATCTAAATTTTAAAACTGCTTTTAACAATTAAACATTAATAGGTAATATTAAAAATACTTACAGAAACCACAGAAAATTTTATATATATATTTGATGATTCAATACAATAGCACAAAATAATTCTGTTTAGTAAATAAATAGTTGCATAAATAGTATATTGTATAATATATATTTTTTATTTCAGTGCAATGACCAAATAAGAATTAATGGAACATGATAAAAAGTTCATTAAAGTTTTTAGATCATAATCGCTATCGCTAACTTTAAATTTAAATGAAATTTTTAAATTTAAATTTGCTTTAAATTTAATTTTAAATTTGCACTTTAAATTTAAATGAAATTTTTAATTATTAATTATTTCTTACAAGAATGTACAAATAATTTTAAAAAAGTTTTTTGTTTTAAATGTAACAACCACGCAAGATGTTTGGTACATGTTTTAAATGTAGATTATAGGCGAGCAGAACAACAATAAACTCTTTTTTTGGTAAAAAACTCTTAAATAATAATAAGTAATATTAGTTAATATCTGTAATAATGTTAAGTAATATCTGTGGAAAAATTTTTATTGTAGTTTTTACCAAACTTTTTTTTCTAATAATTAAACTACATGTATTATGTGTACAAGGCTCGAACTAAGTGATCACAAATTGCAATATCTAGAAATACTTGCAGTCTATAAGTTAACGGTTTTTTAAAATTTTAGATTTTAAAAAACCGTTAACACTATTTTTATTACTAAACTCAATATTTATTTATTATAAAAAAATTAAGTATTGTTTTCATTACTGTAGTTCAAGATATATAAGGCTTTAATTTCTTACTGTATTAATTTTATAATTTTTTAATAGTTTAATGTTTTGGGAACAAATATTTTTTGTTTTTAGGACAACACAATACACTCCTTATCAACCAGAAATATCACAGGGGCGTCTAGAATCCTTGCTTAATTTTCAAACAATGATAAGTGATTTAACAGGTCTTGAATTTTCTAATTCGTCGCTTTTAGACGAGGGTACTGCTGCAGCAGAAGCTTTAGGTCTAGCTTTTAGGTAGAATAATTTTTTTTTTTTTAAATTTAACTTTACCAAGTATAGGGCTTAATAGTTCTTAGTAAATTTTTTACTTTTAAGGTTTTTATCAATTTTAATATATTTGCTGTTTTGTTTTTCATTTGCTTATAAATATAAATATATGCAATATTTATAAATATAAATATTGCATATAAATATAAATAGATTTTTTTATAATGTCTTTATATACTTTACAAATGTTTTGAAACACTTTTTTCAGGCACACTAAAAAGAAGAAGTTTTATGTTGATGAAAATTGCCATCCACAGACAATTGCTGTTGTACAAACACGAGCTAGGTTAGTTTTGTTTACAATTTCTTGTAAAAGGTCTTTTGTATGTTGTCAATAACTTTACAATAGCAACTGCGACCTTTCATCAAGGAAACTATATAATAGTTTATTTGGATTAGAAGTTAGTTCTTTTAATTTGCATTTTTTGCTGAAACAGCTGAATTTACTTTTATTTGGAGAACCAAAATATTTTCAAATAAATCAAACAGTTTTCGCTTTGCATATGGTTCATGTTGACATTATTTACTGAATAGATTCTTAGTCAAAAACAGTTTTGTTCTAGCTGAAATCTAATAGTAAGTTTCTTATTATGACAGCAGCTCACACCTACTATGTAGAGTTTGATTGGTTCACACCTACTATGTAGAGTTTGATTGGTTCACATCTACTATTTAGAGTTTGATTGGTAATCAAATTCCATTAAATTTAAGTTATTTAGAGCATTTAATTTATCTTAGTCTATCTGAATTAGTAATTGATTTTGCTGGCTATCAGCATTTTTGATAACTGATCTGTATTAATTTTTTTGTTTTAATCAGACAAAAACTTTTTTATTTTTTTTTAAAATTGAAAAAAAAAAAAATCTTGTAAAATTCTTAGCAAATTGCTCTTCCTTTAATAATGATGAAAAACAAACATAAAAAATTTGCCAAAAAAGTTATCTTTTATATATAGTGGTGTATCTACCCAAACTTAAATCTTTAGTTGATTTATGTACTATGGCTATTTCAATGTGATGTTTTATGAAAAGCTGAACATAAAAATATATTTTTTACCAAATTTTGATGATTGTTTTATGGCTAATACCAAATTGTTTTAGGGTTTTAAGGAACCCTGGGTCTCTCCAAGCTCCCAATTATTTGGTTGGGGCCTAGTATTATCAAAAAAAAAAATTTCAGAAGTAAATAAACTTGAGTCTCAAATTAAATAAATTTAAATAAAAATATCAAAAACAATATTGATTTTTTTTAAGATGTCTTGGACACAATAATATTATGTATGTAAATATAAATAAATATAATATAATAATATAAATATAAATATAAATATTATGTATATATATATATGTATGTAAAAATAATATAATAAAATAAATATAAATATAATGTATGTAAATATAAATAAATTTAAAATTTTGAAAATAGTAATCATATTAAATATGATTACTATTTTCAAAATTTTAAATTTATTTATATTTATTAAACTGTGTCTATATTTTTAAAACTAGCACGATTGGTGATGGAATGCAAATAATTGTTGGTAATTATGAAAATTTTGACTTTTCAAAAGAAGACATTGCTGGTGTTCTTTTCCAGTACCCTGATACAAATGGAAAAATTAATTCCTTTGAGGAATTAGTAAAGAAGGCTCATGAGGGAAAGGTAAATTTTAATTTGTATAAAAATATTTATTATATTTGATATTTAGTTTATTTTTTAGTGTTTTTTAGGCATTAGCGTGCTGTGCAACTGACTTGCTTGCATTGACTATGTTAAAACCACCTGGAGAGTTTGGTTGTGATGTTGCACTAGGAAGTAGTCAACGGTTTGGTGTGCCACTTGGTGAGTTCTTTCATATTTCAAATAAAAGCAATTTATTAGCATTTTTTTAAATAAAATAATTTTTGTTAATTTGCTTTGTTAAGATTTTTTTAATAAAATAAATTTTGTTAATTTGCTGTTAAGATAATATTTTAATATAATCCTTATTTAGTTTATTGAGCTGTTATTTGCAAGAGAATATTATAAAAAGAGTCTTAAGTATTTTTAACACAAAATTTCATAAATCAAATTCCCCCCCTATCCCCCCCCTCCCTCCTTCCTCAAAAAAAAATTTTTTTTTTACATATGATAAAAAAATTCATAATAAGCACAGTTATTTTCTTTTTATTTGTACTAATTATAATTGTATAAATGCATAGTTGAATCATTTTAGGGTATGGTGGTCCTCATGCTGCATTTTTTGCAGTAACAGATAAGTTCAAAAGAATGTTACCAGGAAGAGTTGTGGGATTATCAAAGTAAGCAACTTTTTGTGTCTTTAACTTTGATTATAAAATTATTTTTTTTGTTAACGAAGTAGAAAAGTAGTCTACCTATTTTTTAATCTTGATTAATGATTAAGTACTTTTTTCAACTTAATCATTGGATATATGTACCACTGCAGCTCCCTACTTCAGTATGATGCCATTACTATAATTATTTTGAATCTAATTTTTATTGGTAGATGTTTTGAATGATTAGCAAAATATTTTGCTGATTTTTTTTTTTTTTATGTAAGACTAAATGTACTTTTTGTGGTATTTCTAAAGGTTTTTTACATATCCTCAAGTAAACCATAAAACATCTGGAGTTTAACGCAGGGCTGTGGAGTCGGAGTTGCGGAGTTGCAACATTTTAGCGGAGTTGGAGTTGCTAAGCAAAATCGCGACTCCGATTCCAATGGTAAAACTTCTCGGTATTGCACGTGCATGTACAAAACATTCAATTAACGTTATGTTTATACTAAACTTCAAAGAATGTTTCATAAATTTGTCAAAAAAATTTTTTTTAACTTATCACGTAATATTTTTTAAAGAATTCAAAAAATTTTTCAAATATTTTGCTTTGGAGTTGGAGTTGTGCTCAAAAAATTTCAGCAACTGGAGTCGGAGTCGGAGTTGTACTCAAAAAATTTTAACAACTGGAGTCGAAGTCGTTACTTTTTTTTACGACTCCACACCCCTGGTTAAACGTCATGAGATTCTGACACAGTCTTATGACTTTTTACAAAATAAATTGTGGAAGAGAATCTGATACAGTTTTGAAATATTATGAACATGCCACCCACTATGACTTATCAAAATATTAGTTGTTAACAATTAGTTGCATAATATGTATCATAATGATAGTATGAAATATGCTGCTATGAAAGTAAGAAGCAGTTTGTTAAAATCAGTTTTAAAGTTTTCAAATCTTGTTGATTGTACCTTTTGAAATTTTGAAATATTGAAATTTTTTATAAAAGGCTCTCTTGATCAACTATTTATCTTTATATTACAAAGTATTTTAAAAACTTTAAAATTTTGCTCAAGATATTTATTAGGATTTATCATTTCAGGATTTATTTAAAAATTTAAGAAAGCCAGTTAAATTGATTTTTTAGTGTTATTCAATTCTCTGCTGCACAGATTGAAACAGATTTTTTTTTTTGTAAAGAACATTACATACTTCTAAATGAAGTCCATGGGAAAACTTCTACTTCTAAAGTCCATGGGAAAAACTTCTACTTCTAAAGTCCATGGGAAAAACACGGCTTATGTCCAATACCACTAAGCTTTCTAAAAGTTTTCATGTTTGCAAACTCTTTTGGCGCACTTATGCCAGTTTTTGCATGATGTCCTTTTAAAGAACATTTTTGCGAGATTTTAAAGAACTTTTCATATTTATATCATATATATATCATTGCGAGCTTTTAAAGAACTTTTCATAAAAATTTTCAAAAAAAATTAAAAAATAATAATCTCATAAAAAAACATCTTTAAAAAAATTTCAAAAAATCTTGTGAAATTCCCTGTTTTTAGTTACGTCATTTTCTGTTCACTAAAACGTCATTTTCTGTTCACTAAAACCTAAAATAACAGTTTTTTTTATGAAATGATGATTTTTTTTCAAGCTTTTATATAATTTCATTTCTTTTGAGACCCAACAAAACATTCTTTTGAAAAAAAAATTTCTTAATAATAAATGTGCAATAATATATATTTAAAATGTGCAATAATATATATTTAAATTGTCATAATAGCACGAGTTTTAATAAATATAACAATTATTTTCAGTTTCAACAACATGTTTGATTATATAATAATTATTTTCAAGTATAAATCTGTTAAATACAAAAACTATTTAATATATAGTGGAAACAAACATAAATTTTATTTGTTAGTCAAGAAAATAAAACATGAAAGGTGTGAAACCCTCTGTCATAGAATTATGGAAAATGTTGATAGTTAGTGTAATACATATGTCATATAGTAATAGAAAATATCATCATAATTAAAAACCTGTTAATTAAGATCAGGTTTTCCCCACATAACGCTTCTTTGAATTTAACTGATGCGAGGTTTGGGCGTAGTCTAATACTGAAACAGAGTCTTTATTGACTACATTAAAGCAACTAGTTATTGAATAAATTTGTTGATTTATATGAGAAGTTTTTTGTAATTTTAAATGTTCCTCAATTCTTTTACTCTAATGTTGAGTGGTTTGACCCACATAACAAGTATTGCAGCTTTTACACACAAATTTATAAATGACATTTGAGATAGGATGTTGAGGAGTTTTATCTTTTGTTGAAAAATATGCATTAGTTTTAAAGGGTGAAAATGCCAATTTAATATTTACTCGGAATTAGGGTTGGTATTTTTTGAATGCCAACCCTAATTCTGAGTGCTGATATAAATATATATTTAAAAGATTTTAAAAAAAAACTATTTTAAAAAGGGATTCTCATGGTAATCCATGTTATCGCCTTGCACTACAAACACGAGAGCAACACATCCGACGTGACAAAGCAACTAGTAATATTTGCACAGCTCAAGCTCTTCTTGCCAACATGTCTGTTATGTTTGCCATATATCATGGTCCAAGTGGCTTGGAAAAAATTGCTAAACGAGTTCATAATGCGGCTTTAATTTTGGCTGAAGGTATTTCAAGCATTTTTATTAATGATTTTTATATTAATTATTAAAATAGACTTAAATTTTATTTTTTACTTTGTCTTAGGTTTGAAAAAGGCTGGATACACACTTGCTCCAGGACAATTTTTTGACACAATTAAGGTATGCTGGTTTTAGTAGTGCTTGCTGTGTTTTTTTAATGTTATATCTAAAAATATTTAAAAATTATAAAGAATAAAAAAAATGAGATTTTCAACTTTGCTAAAAATAATCTTTTGTTTGTCTGCTTGTTTTTTTCATTTTCATCAAAAAATCAATTAAAGTGATGATTTTAGTCTTGTTCTTGCTTGCAAAATTTAATAGCTAATCCAAATTAAGTTATGTATAGTTTTGTTTGTCTTTATATAGATACTAAGCAAACAAGTTAAGACATTATGTAGATACTGAACAAACAAGTTAAGACACTATATAGATACTGAACAAACAAGTTAAGACATTATATAGATACTGACCAAACAAGTTAAGACTTTATATAGATACTGAACAAACAAGTTAAGACATTATATAGATACTGACCAAACAAGTTAAGACATTATATAGATACTGACCAAACAAGTTAAGAAATTATATAGATACTGAACAAACAAGTTAAGAAATTATGTAGATACTGAACAAACAAGTTAAGAAATTATGTAGATACTGATAAACAAGAGTCTTCAGTTTACCAACCTCTATTCTTTTATTGTTAGACAGAATAGAGATTCTTTTATTTGCTTAGCAAAGTCACTGCTACTTAAGATTTTGATCGTATAAGACATTGTTGTCAGATGTGAGAAGCAATACATCAATACAAAAAAGTCCTATATATGCTCATTTCATAGTTGCATATACATAACTTTTTTTGTATCGTGTGACCACAGATCAAAGCCAAAGATCAAAATTTTCGACACTGTTTTTATAGTTGAATTAATTGTTGCAGCAAAAGAATGGCTTGTTACATTGTGACATAATGTTAAGCTGAGTTTTTTCATCAAGTTGTTAGATGTTTCTACAAAATATCGCTATTTGTTAGTGATTTTTGAAACTTGATATTCATGAAATAAATTTTGCAAAACTTACCTTTTGGTTTAAGTGATATAAGTTATCTACCATTTCTGGCTCATTTCTGTCTTCACTGTAAATTTTAAGTTCATCAGTTTTATCTTGAATATCTAATTCACTGTCTGTCATCAGATGAAGATTTATATTCAGATTTTGTTTTGTTTTGTACAGGACATCTAGATTGAAAATGAATAATAGATGTACATCATGTACAATTTTTTATATAACAAAAAATTGTTATTCATATTACACACAACATCTTTATGTTAATTTATCGATCTTATTTTAATTGAATCCAAAAAATAATGCAACAAAAATTAACAATTGAATTTAGAAAAAACATTTTTATCAACTCATAAGTCTGGAAAAAAGAGTGAATTGATTTCAAGCTTATAAAAACTACAATTGCATGGAGATCTGGTATATAGATTTGATACATAACTTAGTTTTTGATTTCTAATATATATATATATAGATAAAGTGTAGAAGATCTACATAAATTCATTCACTAAGTATGTTACTATTAAAAGATTCAGGAATAATCAATACTAAAATTTTTTCTATATTCTGAAATACATGTTTATTGTGTCATCAGGTTGTGTCAAATATGTCCATCCGTGAAATTAAGCCACATAATAGGTAAAATGTAGAGTTCAACTTCAACCATGACATGCAGCTAAGTTGGCTCAAAAAGGAGAAGAATGGTGTGAGAGATTAGAGAGAGAAACTTTTTTTATTAATAAGTCTTATGATGAGGAGAGCCTATTTAGGAGACCACTGTACTTTTTAGATATCAGAGATAACAAAATCACCATACTTTTCAATATCAGAGATAACAAAATCAACATTAAGAATGATAACTTTAATAATGAGTAAATCACTTGGTCAGTTACCAGATCTACTATAAAATGGAAGATTTAAATTTGATTATCCGAAATTACTAGATTCAAGATAATAAATACACCTTGCTGTTAGTATTTTAATTACATTGAATCTATATAATGTAATCCAAATAATGATGAAGAATATGGTTTGATGGTAGTGGTGCAAAAAGTAGCAAACTATGGAGAAGAATATGGTTCCATTTGGAACCACAACAAAATGAATTGCATATTTTTGTAGAAAAATTTAGCTCATTTAAATAGGGGTGTTTCGAATAAATAGAGTAGAATAAGTAGAAACGAGAATTAAAAATGGTTTCGAAATATCTAATGTAAGAGTACAAGGACTTGTTTAACACAAATGGCATGATACAAATCAAGTAGTAATCAAAACACAAATCAAGTAGTAATCAAGATGTGTTACTTATATTGATTGGAAATAAAGTTGGCAAGTTGATTACTCGGATTTTCACTCTCTACTAGTTCTTAATTTCATATGGTATTATTTTTTTAATTTTAATTTTAATTAAACACTTCTTTCAGTAAGAAGTATTTAATACAATTACATTTTGTATTCAATATAATTACAACTTTTTTTTGTAGGTTTTAACTATTTTTAATTTTTTAAAATTCTATATATAAAAGTGCTTTAGTCTAGTTTTGTCATTAAGTGGGTACTTTGATCCCAGTTTATAATACAAATTTTAATTTTCAGATCATCAATATCAGGGACATACCAAATATTCTAAAACGAGCTGATGAAAAAGAAATCAATTTAAGAGTTTTTAATGATGGCACATCTGTAAGTTTATATTTTTGTATAGTAACACTTTCTAAAGTTTATTTTGATGTTAACATCATTATAATTAAGATATGAAAAAAAGTTACAACTTGATAGTGATAACCTTGATAGTGATAACCTGATAGTGATAACCTGATAATGATAACCTGATAATGATAACCTGATAATGATAACCTGATAATGATAACCTTGATAGTGATAACCTGATAGTGATAATCTGATAGTGATAACCTGATAATGATAGCCTGATAATGATAACCTGATAATGATAACCTTGATAGTGATAACCTGATAGTGATAATCTGATAATGATAACCTGATAATGATAACCTGGTAATGATAACCTTGATAGTGATAACCTGATAGTGATAACCTGATAATAACATTTATAGCGATAAATGTAATAAGTATACAAGTACTTTAACTTTTAAATTTAAAAATTTATAGGGAAAACTAAATTTTTTATTTTTGAAATTTATCTGAAAAATATCAGTAGAGTATTAAAAAATTTAGTACTCTAGTTTTTCTCAACCTAAATTTAAACATTTTAAAAACAAATTTAAAAATTACCATTCTAACTTAACATGAACATTTATAACATATTACATTCCAGAAATGCTTAGAGCACTTATATTTTTACATTTACATATACACAAAAATGCTAATCTCAACCTCTGAAAATAATTACTTTTCGAGATTTTTCAATAGATTAAAAACTGAGCATAATTCATTTAAAAAACTGGGTTTTTTTTAATTGTTTTTATTCATTTAAAAAACTGGTTAACACACACACACACGCATTCACACTCACACAGGTGTGTGTTAACCAGTGAAATCGGTTGTTGCTTTATTTTAAACAAGGTTTTTTCACTAAAAAATTTTCAATTTTAGAATTAACAAATATTTTTGTAGTTTATTTTAAACTATGTGTAACTATTTGGTAAAAAAAATAATTGACTCCATTAACTACACACACACATGCACATACCGGAGTTATTATTTTTCGGATATATCCGCAATTCTGAATATTTTTTTTTCCTCTGCACATATTATCTCTAAAAAGATAAATAGTTGGGTATTATATTTTCCATTGAATTTGGACCTTAAGAATTTACATCCAAAATTTTATGTGCGCCAATTTTCATGAAAATTTCTTTTTTTATGCATAGCTTGGGATATCTATGGATGAAACTATCAGAGAAAAAGACTTGGACGATTTACTCTGGATATTTAATGCCAGTGAAAAGTCAGTAAGTACTTTTGTTTTACTATTTGATAAAAAATAAAAAATACAAAAAGATTTTATCTAAACACTTGCATATTTGTTTGAGTTAAAAAAAGGTTTTTATTAAATATAAATTAGTATTTGCTTGTATGATGTTTGTTGAGTATTTATATGTTTGCCGATGAATATTTTTTGTTTAATAATTGCATTCTATATTCTTTTTTATTGATTATTTATTATAAAATCAACCATTATGAAAAATGTTGCACTCAATGTGCATCATTATTATTACTATCATTATTACCATTATCATCATTGTCTTTCTTACACAGGTTGATCATTTTTTGTATTTCTCTTATACCTTAAGTACCTTCTTTCCTTTACTGAAACTTTTTTATGTCAATCATAATGCACTTGTTATATTAATCATTTTAATAGTTAGGTTATGAGCAGATTATTTCAACTGCTATGTTTCATACTACTTTATTTGTATGTAGACAACAATAAATCTTGCTAAGTTATTTAATGTATTGGAAGCTTGTTTATTTTTATTTTGATAAGTTCAATCTGTATACACATGCATTTAGATTTACATTTTGTAAACAGTTTTTAACATTGTTTTACTAGGCAGATATTGCTAAGGGTATGAGTGATCCACCACAACAAAGTATTCTTAATTGTAATCTTATGCGATCCTCTTCTTTTATGAAACACCCAGTTTTTAATAGGTAAGAATATTTCAGAATTTTATTACTGCAGTTTTTTACTTTTGTTGCAAATTTTCATAATAATAGCTTGCAATTTTGTTGTTTTAATAACAAAAATTTAATTGAAATCCAAAAAGATATTAATCTCACAATGTTGTAAGCATAATTATTGTACAATCAGACTTCCAGGTATTCCAGTGAGATAAAATACAAAATTTAAAAAAAAAGTGTAAACTTTTAAATATAAAAGAGCTTGCCCAATCATTATTATTCACAAGGCTTAAACACTAATAAAGCTAAACTATAAATGTTCCTTTGATTCACTCAGGTTTATTTTACCATATTCTTTACTAAACCCACAGAATCTCTAAAAATATATCAAAAGATTCCAAAAGAAATCAGTGGAAACCTGTAAGACATTTTTGAAAAAAAATGGTTTTATTTTTACAAGGAAGAATGAAATGCAACCTCGTGGCATCGCAACAGAGGCTCAAGGTTGGCAGCTAAATTCAACTTACAATTTAGCACTCAAGTTTTAGAAAAGCTTTTTTCCTCATTTTTATATAAAGATCATTATTCTCCTAAAAAAAAATTGTTTAATTAATAATACTATTTATATCCCATATAAAAATAAAAGAAAATATTTTATATGGAAAGCATTTATTTTTTTAAGCTAAAAAATCTTTTGTTTTAGCTATCAGAGTGAATCAAAAATTGTCCGATACATGAAGCTGCTAGAAAATAAGGATTTATCACTTGTCCATGCTATGATACCTTTAGTAAACTATTTTTTCCTAATTTTGTATCCTCTTTTTTTATCTGGCATTTTTTTTAATTTTATTTTATAAATTTATTTTAGGGTTCCTGCACTATGAAATTAAACAGCACAACTGAGATGATGGTTAGATTTGTAGAATTTATATTAAATTAATAAAATATTTTTAAACTTATAAGTATGTAGTGTTAAGTTGTTTTTAAAGTTATTAGAAAAAGTAATGTGAAAAGTGTATTAAAACATAACTTACATATTTAGGCAATAACATGGCCCAAGTTCTCAAACTTGCATCCTTTTATTCCAAAGTATCAAGCAGCTGGCTACTATCAACTATTTTCTGACCTAGAAAAAGATCTTGCTGAAATTACTGGATTTGATGCAACATCTTTGCAACCAAATAGGTATTATTGTTTTTTTAAAATTTGCAAAACTCAAGCTTTTAGACTTGCTGACATTTCAAGTAATAATGTTGTTTGAATTTTTTTTTTAGTGGTGCACAAGGAGAGTATGCTGGTCTCATGGTGATACGCGCATATCTTTTAAATAAAAATCAGGCTCACAGAAATGTATTTCTTTTTCTGCTATGTGTTTTTCTGCTGTGTATTTTGAAAGTACTAACATGTAAATATTTTTTATTCTATATTATAGATATGCATTATTCCTAAGTCTGCTCATGGAACAAATCCTGCTAGTGCAGCAATGGCTGGTTTTAAAATAGTAGCCGTTGAATCAGATAAGATGGGTGGAATTGACATGATTGATTTAAAAAGCAAGGTAAATTATTCCTCAAAAACTTATATAAATCTCATGAATTATATTGAACCCTTAAAGTATCTTTTTATCCAAGAATACCAAAGTTAATTTTATTACCTCATTTATAAGTTAAATATATAACTAACATATCATAAGTAGGTATTTAACTTTGGTATTGTATACAATTTTATAACTATGATATTGTCTACATCTTTGTATTTTGTAAAGAATTGTTTTTTTTATTTTACTAAGTTAAAACTAAATTTATTTTCAGGTCGAGAAAAATTCATCAAATCTTGGTGCCATTATGATAACATATCCTTCAACTTCAGGTGTTTTTGAAGAAGATATTGTGTAAGTATTCAATGTCTTTTTTTATAAATTTTCTTTAAAAAGGAATGATCTAATCCTTTAGAACTATTACCATTGAGGATGCTTTTGATTCTTAATCTAATTAGTTTTTTTAACTTTATAAAGTGAATCTTTAAACTGTAAATAGAGTGAAAAGTTTATATAATTTATATAACTACTCCTTATTTAAATACATTTAGATTGTTTTTGAAATTTTTTGATATGAAAAGGTTTTTTTTTCCAATCCAGTCAGCTTGTGTTATATTTTTTCATGTTTTAGAAAAGTTGTTAATTAATCATTAATATTAATATTTCAGAGAAATTTGTGAGATGGTTCATAAGCATGGTGGTCAAGTATATCTTGATGGTGCAAACATGAATGCACAGGTTAAACTTTGATACTTTTAGACTAATAGAAATTTCTTAATTGTTTTATTCACTATTGTTTGTAAACCATGTTCATGTGTGTGTGTTTACATAAAAGTTTTTAAATTTAATTTTAATTTAACTTATTTCTGTTTAAAAAAATAAAATATAATGGGTTTAGGTTGGTTTGTGTCGTCCTGGCGATTTCGGAGCAGATGTGTGTCATTTAAACTTGCATAAAACATTTTGCATACCTCACGGTGGTGGCGGTCCTGGAATGGGACCTATTTGTGTGTATGTTTTTTGTTGTTGTTGCTGTTAAGTATAATTAATAAATGTAAAAATGATGCATTAAATTTTGCAACTTAAATCTAGTATAAATTTAATCAATGCTGTTTTTCAGCGACATACATAAGTTTATTCTGTTTGCATAATCAATAAGGTAGGCCTTGTATATTGTCATATCTTTTAGTATATTTTAAAAAAAAACTACTTTAAAATTCAAAATCATACGCTTTTTACAAATTTCTATATTCAATTTTAACATGTTTGTCCGCAAACATTTCGTTATTTTAAAGGTTTTTGTTCACCCTACCTTGCTTTATGGTTTTTATGTGAGGCAGATGTTCACATATAGAGTTTAAACTTTTTATGACTTTGATTCAACCTGCTATTTGAAAGGGTGTTTTCAAGATTGCAAAATTATAGGTTTACAACTACAAGAAATGTACTGTAAATAATAAGTATTAGGATCAAGAATTCATAAAAAATTACGGTATGAGTTTTTTTTACCATAAGATAAAATGTCCCTAAAAGTAAACAACAGGGGTAGTAACTGAGCAGACAGTGGTTTTATCTTATATTTACTTTCTATAATTTCAAAATAAATTATAATCATAAATTTTGCACATTTTCCATGAGCAACTGTTAACCATGTGTAATAAATTATTAATAAATAACATTTTATATTTTTAAATTGACCTAACCCAAAAAATATATAAACCTATTTAACAATAAAAGATTTTTTTTAATTATATAATTTTTTTTATCTTTTCATTAATTTTAAGTGATATAAAAATCTATCAATTTTAATATTTGAGGAAGAAATTTGTATTCTGAAATTTTAATATCTAATGTACCAATCAATTATATACTCCATAAGCTTATTATGTACTTTTTTATCCCTGTCAAAAAATTAGGTATTGACAAATTTTATTGCTAAAATTGGCAAAAATTACATTTTAATTCTAAATGAGAGAATTTAATATTCAAATTCATATTTAATTCAGAAATTTTACTAAACATGATAGACAAAAACTTTGTACTGAGTTTCATTTAATTTTTTAATGTTGAACTAATCTTTATGAAAATGCACCGTTTTTATTTGTAAACATTTTTACCTGTTACCATTATCATTATATTAATAATCATTATTAGGTAAATTTACAGTTTTTTTGTTGTAGCAAAAAGCACTTGATTCCATTCCTTCCTACTCATCCTATAGTACCACCTGTAGGCACTGATTCTGCAAATGCTAAACCTTTTGGTACAATGGCAGCTGCACCATATGGATCAGCAGTCATTTTAACAATTCCTTGGGCTTATATTAAAATGATGGGATCAAATGGATTAAAAAAAGCAACACAGGTAAAAAAAAATAACTATGAACTGATATTACTATATTTTACATATATAAAAATTTAAAGCTAATCTATTGGTATATTTATTGATTTTTTTTAAAAGGGCGAGACTGTAATGTACATTAAAATTTTTGTTATAATTTTTTTTTTTTATCATAATTTCAGTTGGCTATTTTGAATGCTAACTACATGATGAAAAGACTAGAAGATCATTATGAGTTACGCTTCCATGGCAAGCATGGTTAGCCTTTATTTCTGTGTAAACTTTTGATATAATATTTTTCTTCTGTTATTGATTAAATAGTGCTAAATAAAAAAAAAAACTTTATTTATTGCATATTTTCTGGTTACGCTTTAAAAAAAAAAAATTCTTTAATTTTTTCTTGTTATGCAGTTTACATTAATCAAGTATAAACATAGTAATTTTTTTCTTGATTTTCATAATTAAGGACATTGTGCTCATGAGTTCATTGTTGATTGCAGAAGATTTAAGCACAGTGCTGATATTGAAGTAATTGATATTGCAAAACGATTGCAAGATTATGGTAAATAAATGCTCTTTTTTATTATTATTAGTCTTTGTAATATTAAAGTGTGTGTACTAAAATTTTCACTTCTTTTTAAAATAATTCAAGTAAAGTACTTATTAACTTATTTAGCTATTAAAGTTTGTTAATTTTGCTTTGTATTTTTATAGGATTTCATTCTCCAACAATGGCATGGCCTATTAGTACTGCTCTGATGATTGAACCTACAGAGAGTGAAACTAAAGCTGAGCTTGATAGGTTATGTGATGCTTTAATATGTAAGTTTTTTTATATTATTTTTTTATTTTTTTATATATATATATATATATATATATATAATATATATATGCAATATAAAAGGAAAAACCCATCCTAATAAATAATATATTATTTATTAGGATGGATTTTTCCTTTTATATTGAATCTGGATTTGGACTTTAGGGTTTTAACATTTCTTTTATTCAATATTTTTTTCAAAGTGTTTATTGGAATTAGTTTAATAAAACTTTTGCTAATAAAAGCTAATTACAATTTTTTATTCGTCATCATTTTTTAATATTTAATGATAGAGATATTAAAATTATTTTTAAAAATAGCTTTCTTGTTTCATTTATTGTGAAAAATTTATTTCACTAGAAGAAACTATTAAATTAGCTGATACAAAAATATTTGTTAATTGATTTTTAAATACAAAAAAAAAAAAGTTTAATCTTTTAAATTATTCTGATTGGCTACTGATAAATGCTATGACCTGATGGTGGAGAAAAGCTCACCTTTAGTTTGACAATTTATTTTTGACCTGTATTCAACAGTTTATTTTTAACATATAGAAAAAATTATCTTAATTCAATGGTATGCCCTTCATTTTATAAAAAATAACATGATGGTATTTTTGCATGTTACACATTTAAAATTAGAAACACATGGCATGGTTACTATGATAATATTTAAAACACTAAGACCAATTTGACCAAATGTAAATACTTTAAATTTCCCTTACATTTATAAAAATGGTAAAAGTTCTATAAGCATTAGAAATAAAACTTTTGATTCAACTTAAAAGTTTTGTAAAAAAAAAAAAAATTAATTATAAATATTTTTCTTGTCAAAACATTATTTCACTCAAAGATTTACTTCCTAAAAAAAACAAATCCAATTTTTTTTTAAAACCTTGTGCGAATTACAGTGTTTGTTACATAAGGCAAACAATTCAAAACATTGCTCAACGAATTGGTGACCATATTAAAAAAGATAAAAAATCACACATTTTTCAAAATGATAAATATAAAAACAACATAATGTGTTCAGTGAAAGATTTTTCTTATTTTTAAAAATGTCTTAAACTTAAAAATTAGGAAGTTAGTTATATACCAACTTGTAAAACATTAAAAGGTGAAACAGAGTTTATTATGTTTATTAGTTTGTTTATTTTTTAAATTTTTTGGTTTTTGTTGGTTTTATTATGGATAAATGATATTTTATATTTTTTTTTGATTTGCTGAAATTGGAGCATCTACAGAATAAATATTTTTTAAATTAAGGTGGCCTTATTATGCAAACTTTTATGATTTGTTTAATACAAACAAACTACCCTAATAAACTTTTAACCTTAATTTGACTTATCTAATTGCACTGTTATTGTAAATAAAATCAGTTTTGTTAAGGCACCAATTTGATCCAGTCAAGCCAACCAGCTTCCTAAATTGGAACACTTTGATTCCTTAATCAGAACAGCTCGCTTATTTTAAGAAAAACCCCAGTAAAATTAAGAAAATTAAATTAAACATTATTTTCATTACAGTGACAATTTAAACATTCAAAAGACTTGTAATAAGAATAAAATTGTCTGAATAAAATAAAATTCTACATAAATTGTACTCAAGCTTTAACGTTCTGTTATTTTATTAATTAAAAATCACTAAAATTATTTTTGAAGTTGATTGTATGATTGTAACAAGTTATTTTTAAATAGCGGGCTATTTTCTCAACCCTTTGATTTTATCACATTTTATATCATATTTTTTAATTGTTGATAGGTATAGTATTTTGTTAAAAATACAGCTCTTGTCTGTTTAAGAGTGATCAATTCTTCTTTGTAAAATATATTGAATTATATTTATATAATTTAAATAAAAAAAATACAACTTTTTATGGAACTATTAAATTTTGAATAATATGACTGAATGATTGCTGAATGGCATGAAACTAATAGTTCCATAAAAAGTTGTATTTTTTTCATTTAAGTTGTATAAATGTGTATATTTATATTCAATATATATATATATATATATATATATATATATATATATATATATATATATATATATATATATATATATATATATATATATATACACACATATATATACACATATATATACATATATATATATATATATATATATATATATATATATATATATATATATATATATATATATATATATATATATATATTAAATAAATATATATATATTAAATATAAAATTATTATATATATATATATATATATATATATGTATATATATATATATATATGTATATATATATATATATATATATATATATATATATATATATATATATATATATATATATATATATATATATATAAAATATAAAATGTTTGAATTTTTTTCTTTAAAAATTAATTTCTTTTGCAGCATTCATATAGTTTTTTTTTTCAACATTTGTTATATTTGGCAGTAGTTTTTAAGTTTTTATTATGATTTGATACTGTACAAATCATTCACCATGTTCTATACAATTTGTGATACAAACTTGCTGTATATCAATTCTGTATATTATTTTTGTATATTTATTTCTTAAAAATAAATTGGTTTTGTTATTTGGTTTATATTTATAATATTATTACTTAATAATAACAGTAATAGTATTAATAGCAGCACTTTCCCTAATTATGTTAAATAGTGTAGTAACTAAGAGAATTATGTTTAATAGTTCAGTAACTATGAAAATTAGGTATGAGACACAAATTGAAATGTACAAAATTTAAAAACATTTTAAAAACGTTAAATGATCCCCGAATTTCAAAGTCAAGTTAATTTTCACCGGTGTGTGTTTTTTAGTACTATGTTGCTTTTAGAAACCAAACTAGAACGTAACATTGCACCATAGAAACCAAACTAGCATGTTCCTTACTGTAGTATTTTTTTTATATCTATTTCCTTGTTTTAAGATATCAGGCAAGAAATTCGTGAAATTGAAGAAGGTCGCATGGATCGTTTAAATAATCCGCTCAAGGTTTTAATTTTTGTCAAAGTTTCAAAGTTTTTGTCAAATATTTTATTAAAATTAGCAAGTACTTTAAAATTGCATTTTCTTTTATTTGAATTTAGAATGCTCCTCACACACAATCTGTATTAACTGAGGAAGTATGGGATAAACCTTATTCACGTAAAACTGCAGCTTTTCCTGCTGTACGTTTTTTAATTTTTTTTTATTTTGTCTGATCGGTAGGTTATTTTTAAACTTTCATTTTTTAAACATTTATAATCTGTCATATTCTAGCCTTGGTCTTTGCGATCCAAATTTTGGCCGTCGGTAGGACGAGTTGACGATGTACACGGTGATTCTCATCTCATTTGTGCATGTCCACCAGTTGAATAAATTTTAAAACACGGTTATAAGTTATAAAATCAAAATCGTTGTAGGAGTTCTGAAAGTTTACATAATCGTGATGTAGGGATTTTTAAGCAAATTTTTTATTATATCGAGGCAAAAGCTGTTATATTTTCGTAATTTTTGTAAAATGCACTCGTGTATGTTTTAATATGTCTATTTGTACATAATTGCAACTATATCTTTTTTTTTTTTTAATTTTATAATCTATAATAGAATTTTTTTTCAAAAAAAAAAAATCTTTTAATCGTCAAAACAACGATTATGTTTAATGCAATTAAATTGCTTTTATTATTTTTTATTACCATTAAATTTAAAAAGTTGTTACTTTTTTTTTATTATAGTATAGTAAGATAATTTTTAGTATTATAAACTTCATTTTTGTTTTCTATTAAAAATAAAATGTATTTTGCGATTCACAAAAATTGCGAAGCACAATATACTATTTGAGACAGAAATTTTAAAAACAATTATGACGGTCTCCCAGTAGATTTAAGAAAAAGGTTCTTGACACTTCACTGTGAACCAAAGAACCGTTTGTTATAATAGCTTTAAAAAAAAGTCAGCAAGGCTTCATAAAGTAACCAAATCTTTTAAAGAAAAAATAAAAACTTTCATTTTGGGTCATTCAATTCTGATCATTTGCTACGATCAGAATTTAGTTAACCATCCTAAAGTTATTTGTAGCAATTGTTATAAAAACCTTTATTGTTTAGAAAAGAATGATACAAAATACCTTAATAAATTGACTGAACAAAATATCTCAGGTTAGTTAATAAACTGAACTAAAAATAATATTTATTACTACGCGTTTAATTATCTAAATTTTTTTGCTTTTTGTCAATTTTGTAAAAGCAAGAATGTTTCATAAATTTGAAATTAAATTTATTTAGGCTACTTATTTTAGCATTTTAGTTAATGCATATACATTGGGATCAGCAAGTGCAAAGCGTGTTGCTTCTAGTATCCTAAAAACCAAAATGCAAAATGAAAATATTTTTAGAGGTGAAAAATTCACAATTGCTACTCATGGGAAACAATTCTCTAGTTATTCACGTAGATGGGACTACGAAAAAAAAAGGTGATCGTACAAATCAAAATCAAGTGTCTTTTGAAACAATTATAAAATATAATTTCTAATAAAATGTTTAGAACTATAATAGTGTAAAACCAAAAAAATGTATTCTATATTTAGAAAGAGTCTTGGTTTTCAAGGTAACATTGAAAGAAATATATTTAAAAAATTAGAGGCTTTAAAAGCTGAAATGAGTAAATAGTGAATATTTATATGAAAAGAACAAGAATTTTTTGAAGATAAAATAATAAATAAATGTTTTATATAAAGGGTATTGATGAACTTGTACTTTTTTTTTTTTTTTTTTTTTTTTATAATTTTTATTTTTAGTTGCCTAGAAGTTCGTACGGTCTTGTCACAGAGCACCGCAGATGAGCATTTAATTGGAGGTTCACACCTCCTTTCTAACCGATGTCGCAAAACTTGCCCAGTGGTGGGCTTTGAACCACGGATCTTTTGTTTCTGAGGCAAGTGCGCTACCGCTGCGCCATATAATTATAATCTACATCTTATAATCATTGAAAGAAATATTGAACCTCTTTCTACAATTGTTATGGATACTGTGGATTCTGGTCAAGGTTTTTTAAAGGCTACTATGAATGTCTTTAATCCGCAGCAACCAACCCGACTTTGATAATAAAGTGTTGTTTTATTGTTGCTATTGAAGAAGGAATGTATGAACACAATTGAAATATCGGAAATTAGTTGATCTTCTTAATCCTTAATAGTTTTGTTGCTCAATGTTTGGAATTACAAGTCATGCTGGAAAATATAGTTGTTTTTGGCGTGAAAGAGAGAGTCTATTGGATGGTAGACAAAAACGAACTCTTGGTTCTTTTGATTATCATTACAGTAAATACTTAGAGGCTGGAAAACCAAAATCAAAGATGGCTCATTATAAAAATGTAAATAATCACTGAGTTTTATATCTTGAAGAGGACAGAGATACAGTTATAGAAAATTTAGTTTCAGTACCTGAGTTGTTACATTAGTTGAAATAGTTACAACTTTTGGAAAAACTGTTATTAAAACTATGGTCTGGCTTTGAACAATAACTAAACTCAGGGTTGGCATCAGATTTGATGGCAATAATGCCAACCGACTTTTAGATAAGTTAGATGATCTTGATCGTGATTTAGTTAATAAAGGAAAACTTGATTTATTTTCAGTTATTGAATGTTTATTAAAGTTTCAAGCAATGAAGCAAGCTACCTTTAAATTATTTCTTTAAATATAGTATAACAAATTTAAATAGCACCCGCAACACAGATGTTAATCCAACATGCGTCAACGAGTAAACGTTTTGAGTATTTTTTTTTATTATTATTTTGAATATTTTTAAATTAGTTATTTTGAAAAAAAAAAAAAAATGGCGTTGCTTTTTTCAGAGAAATAAGATTTTCATAATTTAAATTTAAATCTTTTTGAGGACAACTTTATAAATAATCTATCTGAAGAAAACATAAATATTTTTCAAGAAACTCAAATCAACTTAATTAACACACCGTATATTGATCCTTTTGATTTTAAAGTAAAAACAGATGATGGTTTATTTTCTGTATTACACATAAACATTAGAAGCATACAGGAAAATTTTGATAAACTTTAAGAATTTTTAAATATTTTAAATTACACGTTCGACGTCATATCTCTTTCAGAGACTTGGCATGATACAGAAAGTAATTTTAAATTAAATTCTAATTATACTTGACCATTATACAAACTAATTAGTCAACCACGAGGTGGTGTGAAAAAAGGAGGAGGATTAGGAATTTAAGTCTTGGAAAAGCATGCTTTCAAGATATAAAACATATTATGCTTTTCTAATAATAATTATGAAAGTCTTTTCATTGAAATTATTAATAAAAAATACCGAAACGTTTTAGTTGGATGTGTTTATCGTCCACCGAGTGGAAAAATAAAAACCTTTGAAACTTTTATCAAAAATACGATTATAAAAATAAAGAAAGAAAATAAAACATTATATGTTGCTGGTGACATAAATCTTGATGCTCTTTCTAACACGAAATTTCCAAAAATAAAATCTTTTTTTGATTTGCTTTTTAAATTTAATGTCTTGTCAACTATTAATAAACCAACGCGAATAATCAAAACCTCGGCAACAGCAATAGACAATATTTTTTATTAATAATTATTTAGAAACAACATTTGAAACCGGTATATTTATGACAGATATTAGTGATCATTTCCCGGTTTTCATAAAAACAAAAAATCTAAAAGCTATGACTGATTGTCATTCAAAAATCATACATTTGAAAAAACGAAATTTAAAAATGAGTAACACTAATAAATTAACAAATAGACTAAAACAAGAAACATGGAACAACGTATATAAATGTCAAGATACGAATGGAGCTTACAATGCTTATTTAAGTACATTTTTGGAGTACTTTAATGAAACCTGTCCTCAAGAGATTATAAGAATTAAGTCAAGAGCAATCGCTAATTCGTGGATGGATAAATCGTTATTAAAGTGCTCAAAAAAAAAAAGCAATAACTTTACAATAATTTTCTGAAAAATAAAAACATTGATAATGAAAAAAATTACAAAAATTATAAATATTTTTACTTAGATCTCATTAAAGATCTCAATGCAAAAAAAAAAATATTACAGTAATCAAATTAACAAATGCAAATTTGATTGCAAAAAAACATGGTCCAACATTAATGTCATAATGGGAAGAGAAAAACTAAATTCACATTCTCTACCAAAACGAATTGTTATTAAAAACAACGATATATTTAGTCAAAAACAAATTTTGGAAGAATTCAATAAATATTTTACAAGTATTGGTCCAAATCTTGTAAAAAAAAAATAGTACCAACATCTGCATCATTTAAAACCTTCCTTAAACCAACGAATAATGTTATCATGCCTGATTATGAATTAACCTATGAGGATTTTGATGCAGCTTTTTCCTCGTTAAATAAAAATAAGGCTCCAGAATTTGATGAGATATCTAGTAATATAGTTATTGCAAACAAACACAGTCTTAAAAGACCTCTAATACATATACTAAAGTTTCGTTAAATTCTGGGGTATTTCCGGATGTACTTAAATTAGCAAAAGTAACTCCATTGTACAAATGTAGTGATCATTCTGACATTACAAACTACAGGCCTATATCAGTACTTTCTTTATTTTCAAAACTATTCGAACGTGTAGTTTATAATAGAATCTATAATTACTTCATTAAAAACAATTATTTTTACCCAAATCAGTTTGGTTTTCAAAAAAATCTCTCTACTGAGCATGCAATCATTGAAATAGTAAATCAAATAACTAATGGTTTTGAAAATAATAAATTTACTTTAGGAGTATTTCTTGATTTATCAAAAGCATTTGATACAGTGGACCACTGTATTCTCTTAGATAAATTAAGACATGACGGAATAATTAATAAAACTTATTATTGGATTAAAAGCTATCTTTCAAACAGAAAACAATATGCAAATAATGCCCAATCTGGAGTGTTAAATGTCATATGTGGAGTTCCGCAAGGATCGATTCTTGGTCCACTTCTTTTTTTAATATATGTTGATCTTGTGTTAATGTATCAAGAAAACAGGGCATAAAAAAAAAAAAAAAAAAAAAAAAAGAATGGCGATGGCAGCAGTAAAAGATTTGAACGAAAAAGTAAAGATTCTAGAAAAAAGGCTAGATGAAAAAGATGAAATCATTAAAAACCTATTATCTCAAGTTGAACATTTAGAACTTTTAGAAAGACAGAATAAAAATGTACAAACTTTAGATAATGTTGTTGTTGAAAACGAAAAAGCATGGAACATCGTAGCTGGAAAAAATATTAAGAAGACTAAAGAGCAAATTAACATCATCAATACTATATGAAAATGAAACAGCGGAACGAATGAAAAAAGAAAATAACATACTGATTTACGGAATAACCCAATGTAATAATGAAGACATTTTAGAAAAAAAAAAAGTTTTACCAAAATGAAATAAAAACAATTATGTCTAAAATTAATACAGAAGCTATAAAAATAAAAAAAATTGACACGTCTAAGATCTAAAACCAAAGGTAAATCAGCTCCAATAATTCTTAAATTAGAAAGTAAAGCCTG